TTCCAAAGTATTATTTTAGGGGAGGGGATGCGAGAACATCTTAAAATTTTCTAACAAGAGTTGCGGGGAAGAGGCTGGGAGGGAAATGCTGAAAATCGCTGCTTAAAAGTTGGAACTGATAGGCAATATACGTTGCTTTGCTATGCTTGATGATAGGATTTGTAAAATATGCAAACAATTTAATTCAATTTAGTACCGATCAAACAGTGTGTACAATATATCGAACCGAACCAACGAGGCTGTGTGCCTGTATTGGTGACGCAGCGATGACAATAACAAAAACAGTGATACTTTAGTGATAGTAGTGTTTAGATAAGAATGTGAGAGAGTCGATCGCAAATCAATTCAAATTTTAATGATGGCTTCAATTGCCCTTAATTACATAAACTGTATCACATTAACGAGAGCTGTTAAAAACTCAAATGAGCATAACAACAAATCCTCAGCCCTTCACTGAAGAATAGGAGTGGCTGTTTTGAAGGGCCGCACAAGAATATAATCAAACTTAACAGAAGCCTCCTTGGAAATAGAAATCCCTCGTCGGGAAGCTGTCTAACATACAGAAGAAGCGTTGAGGCTTATATTCATGAGAGTATGCTAAATACAAACAAAAAAAAAACAAACAATCAAATCACAGGATTGATGGGATATACGTATGGGATGATCGATCAAAGAACAGATCAATCTGTAATGCAGCAGATGTGGTTTGAACAATACGATGATGATGGTCTCTCCTAGAGGGAGGCAGCTCACCTTCAGCAAATTAAAATATACTCATTTGGACATAACCAATAAACGTCTATCATTCAAACCACTCTGTAAGGATCACATGTCACCTTTCGGCACTATTACCAATCCAGTTAGATGCACAAAAAGTTTCATTGCATAAATTGAAGTGAATCACCGATATTCAACTTAAATTCTCTGAATAAGCGCGATCGAAAGACGTTCCTTTCTTTACAATAACGAATCAATCGTTCGATACATTTCGAGAAAATCTGAGAGACGTTTAGAGAAAACTTTTGACAATAGGTAAAGTGTAAAATAAGAAAACAATTCGATAATGTCAACAAACATAAGATATTGGCGTATGCCGAAACAAATTCTTTCATAACGGGATTATAAAAATTATCGGGGTCGACTTTTACTGAAACATTTCCAAAACGAAACAAAAGTCTTTGACCAAAAAACATTGCTCACAATCAGTAGTAATTAGAAACCTTTCAATCCCTAAGCATTTGATAACAATCAAGTGCCAAAATGAAATGCAATCGTAAGTATGCGACGATAATGCAACATTATTCAAAAACAACGATACTAATTAATAATATCAATAAATGACTTTAAAAGTGAACAAGTGAAACAATGAATAAAAGAAATCATCAAATTAGTCATTCAACATATATGCGAATGAATTCAACAAGACGAAATTCTTTAGTGACGATAATTTGCATGAGATTTTGTATCGCAATCGCAAAAGCACTCGATAATTTCGAATTATAAAATTAATTGATTTTATTATTGTTTGTGCTGCTACTGCTATTATTCGTATTGTTGCTATTACTGCCATTATTCGTTGCCGTTTGTTTGATTGCAGGTGCCCAAACGGTCCTTTTTTGTTCGTGTTCAACGATGGCCACAATCTGCTGACAAACGTATTTGACGGCGTTTCGTGCCCGATGCGCTCCGACCACAATCGTGCTCACATTACACTCGAGCGCATCCAGTTGACTGTCGATCTGATCGAATCTTTCGATCATCTCTTTAGCCGTTTTGCTGTTGATTCGTTCACTACCGCTCTCTTCGGCCAACTCTTTTAGCTAAAAGTTCCATCTGTTTTTTTT